ATGAAATTTTTTGAGCATCTTCTTCATTAAGTCTAGTTTACCCATATCAAATTTCAGCTAAAAATTATATTGGGAAGGCAGTCAATTGATTTTCCGAAATGTACTGCGCTGTTTAACTGCGCTGTTATCTTCAAAAAATCATTTGACTGCCTTCCCGGTTGAATATTTAGCTGAAATTTGGTATGGGTAAACTAGACTTAATGAAGAAGTTGATAAAAAAAATTCATAAAAAAATTCCACCGGTAACCGCCCCAATTGGCGACGGCCGGGCGGAACCTCCTATATAAGGGACTAATTGAACACTTTAAGTTAGTTCATGTACCTATTTGACCCTTTAGCCAAAAATAATAAATCCAAAAAACTAGGGAGAAAGTACAAAACTGAATATCAACTGTGAGAATTTTAAAATAGTAATACAATAAAAAGGCTGGAAAAAATTACAAATTATGATTTTTATCAATTTTTATGGAGTTTAAAATTTTAATTCTCTTCATTTTATTATTGTTATTTTTTGTTTCATGTTGTTGCTATGTGTTTCTTTTTGTTTATTTTTGTTTCTAAATTTTGCACATTTTGTTTTTTATTGTTTATTCATGTTTCTTGTGACGGTTTATTTTCAAACTTTATATGTTTTCACATACATATACATTATATAGGTACATTATATACATCCACTATTGAAAATGTATTGAAAAATAAAACTGAGCTAAGATCGAATACATGCATGAAAACCAAAATAGAATAACTTGAAATTTCCAAATAATTAATTTGTACACAGTACAAGCAAATTAAACCATAACAGCCCTGCACCAGGACCACCAAGACTACAACATATTCATTAGCAAATGTCATTTACAACCAAGTCGAGATCACTTAATGTGTTCATCGGTTCATGATGCCAATAATGTACGAACATAAACTTCATAGTGACTTATCTTCATTTCATCAGATGTAATATCCAAGGACCCTCATTTAAAATGCTCTGTTTCTAGCGAAGACTCAAATGATGAAAAGAGGAGAGACGTGGCTATACCGCCTAAGATATGCCTGACCCAACATGAGGACTTTGTAATGAAGGGAATGCTTCGTGATGCAGCAGAGTATGTAAGTAATGCAATAAGTGATACAAGCTCTCTTTCGACCCCTGACAAGAATGACACAAACTTTTAGTGTAAATCCATCACAAATAAGAGTGAGTACTTATCTATGTATACGCTGTGAATTCAGTCTCCCGGTTTGTCTGCTTGAGATCCAACTATTGTGCCAAACAACACCGAAGACCCAAAACCAACAATAAAGATTTTGAAAATCCATAGACAATACTCCATATGACACTTGATTAGATCAAATATCTCTTTCCTTCAAATTTCACCAATAAACATCTAACCTTATTAGTCAAAATGCAAGGATGTGAGTTTAGCTACATAGTTTAGGTCACTTCACTTGAGGTGAGCTCTTTTGCATTTTTGAAAGAGTTTCTTCTGCATATCACCATAGATCCATCATTATTGCCTCATTGGAACCAATTTCCCTGATGAAATAAACTTCTCAATTTTTTTGGAAGCAACTAATCCCAGTACAAGGTCCAACATCAATTATTGTTGTTTTTTATTTCACCTGTTTCTTTTTGTTGATGCCTTTTCAAATATTGTTTTTTTGTTTATTTATGTTTCCATTTGTTAAGATGCATAAAAACAAGAATTGAACACATATCAGGATTTACAAATCTAACCAGGATGAACTCACAGCACAGGTGCAGATCGACGCAACGACCACTGACGGACAGTCCCGAGGAAGAACTCTGCCTCCTCTTGCAGCTTGTTCCTCCAGCGCCACAGGTCTCCACTTGGTCGATCTCCAAACCTCAATCCCTGATTCGTTGTGACCTTACCGGCAGATGTTCTCGCGTACCTGCACTACGTTTCCGTCCAATTTCAGTTCACACGTTGAGGTGCAACACCATTAATGGTGGCGTGAACGGATTTAGAGTCGTACTGTAGCGGCGAAGCCTCAAACGCAGCTCCTTGCCCTCGCAAACTCCGATTCTGAGACGTCTCTATTTAGATTGTGAAGCTCCACCAGGATTCGCGGGCGGATTTAGCCACCAACCGATCTAGTCAAATCCCATATCTAAGTCGTGAGCTTACAACGACAGAAGGGATTAGGGATCAATCGATTGGTTATCAGATCAATCGCTTGGCTATGTGATGAAACTGGAACAAGTAATCGAAACTCAGACCCGAGTAACTTTGATCTCCATGTCCTCCGTCGTCACTCGTAGTCGGCAACCAGAAACTCCCTTGCATTAGAAGGATTTAGTATATCTGGATCCGTATTGCGATTATTGTTCTAAAATTGAAATAAGAAAACATAATTGAAAATCCAAAAGTTAAAACTGAAAAGAAGAAGTAATTGTGACATAAATGATATGTTAGGCACAAATGTGGACTATACGGGTAATTTGTACTGAAAATAATAGGGGGTGCAATGACTAGATTTTGAACTACTAAAAACGGTCCCAATGCAATAATAGGGGCCGTCTTCTTAGAATTTAATCACTACGTATATTGAAGATTAAATACAAACTTATACGGAGTACAATGTATACTTATGCTTACATCTATGTAGTCCCGAAACTCTAGGGAAAGAGTACGTTTCCCGTTTCGGAAACTCTTTGGAAACTCTCCAAATAAGCCTTTTTTGAGCAAAAGTTGACGTTTCTCGTTTCCCGTTTCCTTTTGATTTTCGCGTTTCCGTGCAACATAGGCTTACATTTATCGCTGCCGTACAAATTTAAGAGAAGCTCCATCTTATATTATTACTCTCTATTTTTTTTGCTTCACGAAGAGGACGATTCCATGATTCCATCGCATTTTCTTTGTTTGTCATTTTTATTGCGGTGATCACTGATCAGTAGGCTTTAATTTTTCTTTTATTATATATATATATATATATACACACACACACACACATATATATACTAGAGTACTCTTCCGGTCAGGTATTCCTGACCGGAACCGCCGTCCGGACGGCGGCGTTTGGCTGCCTTCCCGGTGAAATTTTTCAATGAATTTTTTATGACATGTTCTCCATCAAGTCTAGTTTATCCACACAAAAATTCAGCTAAAAACTCAACCGGGAAGGTTGTCAAATGATTTTTAGAAGATAACTGCTCCAAAAATATACATATAAAAAGCAGTTATCTTCTAAAAATCATTTGACAACCTTCCCGATTGAGTTTTTAGCTGATGTTTTGTGTGAATAAACTAGACTTGATGGAGAACATGCCATAAAAATTTCAACAAAAAATTCAACCGGGAAGGCGGCCAAACGCCGCCGTCCGGACGGCAGTTCCTGTCCGGAATTCCGGACATGAACAGTGTGTGTGTGTGTGTGTATCACACTCTCCCGACGAGAACTCCAGTTACACGGATTTGAAGAGACGGCGGATATTAGCGACGTCCAGGACGGCGAACTTTTGCGACGCTGCAAGCTTCACTGACGATTTCAGATGGCGGTTGAGTCAGATGATGTTGAAGTGTTGAACTCGGTGAGCATCCGGTGGTTATGGTGAGATATACATACTCAAACAAACTTCACGAGAATCACGAGCTAGGGGGTTTAATGCACCAAACCCCCGCGTGAAATAAATATTCGACCCATTAGCCCTATGTGATTTAAAAAATGCGTCAAACCCCATTGTGTTATAATTAATCATGCGCAAAACCCCTTCTAAGAACAAATTTTACAATTTTGAAATTACTTTTTTAATAATATGGATGAATATGCAAGTAACTTTGTCAAAAATTCTAAATTATACAAAAAAACTAACCATTTTTCATTTTTTTTGGAAATTAAATTTGTTCTTGGAGGGGGGTTGGCGCATGATTAATTATAACACAAGGGGGTTTGACGCATTTTTTAAATCACAAGGGGTTAATGCGCCTAATTTTTATTTCACGGGGGGTTTTGGTGCATTACACCTATTTTTATCCCGTCACCAAGTTTAAAAGCCTTTCCATACTCGCACTTCTTCCTTCACGGTGTCTAATTTTTTTACTGCCATGTCAGCATATTATAACCGAAGACTACAACCATTGGAGACCAAATTAATTAGTGAATGTATAATTTAATGATGTGGCACACTTTATTTAGACTAGACATGTGTGCATTGTGGATGCTCTTAGATTTATTCAAGTTCAAGTCAGTCTTAAATATATTTACGTCTGTACCAACATAACCAGTACATTTTTTTTAAACCATATCACATGTGTATATATATAACTACGCAGTTTTACGTAGAGTAGCATCAAATGATAATTTACTAACTCATATAAAATCTTTTAACCAACCTGAAACAAAATAAAAAAGCATTTAAACAAAATAAAAAAGACTTTTGACCAACCTGAAACAAAATAAAAGGCTTTCAAACAAAATGGAAAAACTTGCAAGAATTGAGAATCGAACAATCGAACAATTGACCAACATTCAAATTCAAGCTTGTAACACACGCATAACACTGAAACCCACTTTGCCGATGCTCTCAACCGTTACCATGCTCGTTTACAATGTATAAATTACTTACGTTTAATGCCTATTTACAAATACAATTTTATTTTTTTATATATATAGGGGTTGGGTGGGACCAGCTGCCCCCACGCTGGATCCGCCCCTGATTAGGACTATTTAGTTTAAATGCACTTTTACGTAAATATCAATTAAGACCATCATTGGGAATGTAAGATAACCTAAAGCATGAGTGGTTATAAGATTCTCCTCCATATTACATTCCCGGGAATGTAACTTTTCTGATTTTTTCTCAAACCCGTGAATCAAACATGGGTATCTGACATTCCGTGCATCACATTCCGGCCTTCATGTGAGAAACACATGACTTTTTTTAAGGAGTGATATGTGTTTCCTTAGAAATTTTTGTGATGTACATAGTACATAGGGTCTTTTATTTATATACGACGAGACGAGTAACAAAAACGGAAAATGGGTTTAGGGTGCACAAGGTAACGCCCCGCCTTGCACGGCGCACTTTAGCCGCCCCCACCTCCCCTCCCTTAGCGGTGGTCTGATCCGTCTAGATCTCCACATCAGCCGCCACCCCCTCCCTTTAAACCTAACCCTATCGCCCCATTCATTCATTATGCCACCGCCCATCACCCACCATCGCCGCCACCTAGCCTCTCCAACCCCTGTCATTCGCTCGAGTTTTCCTTCTCATCATCCATGGCTGCATCTTCGTCCCCGTCCAATCTGGAGCTCTCTACTACTCCGACCGAGAATCCCTTTTCCATTGTCACCGTCGCCGCCTCCTCCCGCCGCCTCCCTCCACCATGCTGGTCCCACGAGGAGACGGTAGCCCTTATTGACGCCTACAGAGACAAGTGGTATTCCCTCCGACGCGGCAATCTCCGGGCCAACCACTGGCAGGAAGTCGCTGACGATGTCGCGGTCAGATGCCCCATCGATTCGCCGAAGACCGCTGTGCAATGCCGACACAAGATGGAGAAGCTCAGGAAAAGGTATCGTTCTGAGATTCAACGCGCGGCCCCGTACGGCGGCGTTCGCTCCCAACGTTACTGCTCATCATGGGTCCTGTTCAAGCTTATGGATTCCATGGAAAGAGGGCCCAACGCCGATTCTCCTCCAATGGGTGATGAGGAATTCGATGATGATGGTGATGATGTCAAGCAAAACTCTGCCAAACACATCCTCGGTGACATATATAGCCCGAATTCTTACAACAAAAGAAGCAGTTTTCAGGGCTCCATGAGTAATGGGGGATCTGGTGTCCGGATTCGAATTCCCACATTACCTATGGCGAAGCCTTATGACAAATTTGATGAAATGTTGCCCCAAAATCCTAACCCTAACACGTCCTTTGGCTCTAGTAGGATGATGTCTAAAGGAGATCTCCATGAGAAGAGGTCTGCTGGTTTTGGGAAAGAGGTAACTGGGGAGGAAGAGATGGTGGGAGAGAAGCGGAAGGGAGACTCGATTGCTGAGATGGTGACTGCAATTAAGGCATTGGGAGATGGATTTCTCAAGATAGAGAGGATGAAAATGGATATGGCCAGGGAGGTGGAGGAAATGAGGATGGAAATGGAGATGAAAAGGACTGAAATGATTCTTGAATCACAACAGAGTATTGTTGAAGCTTTTGTCAATGCTCTCTCGGAGAGGAATAATAATACGAAAAAGACTAGGAGGATGATGCCTTCTCCGGAACGTCAGATGGGCCATAGTTGAGATTCCCCCACCCCCATTTCGCAAAATGATAAGCAACTGGTAAGTAATGAGTGACCAGCAGATTGTTCTTACTTTGACGTTTCTGATCCAAAAAATCATGGAAGTAATGAAATTCTGGTGCTTCTTCTTGTGTACTCGAAGTTCAAGAAGTTGATTTCATACAAGTAATTGGAACTTGTCAACTTGAATCATTACTCGAAGTTCAAGATGTTTATGGACCGATAGAAACCTGCTCAAGACATTCCCTCGTGCGGTATTTGGAATGTTATCTATCAATTTAGTTAAACAAAGTTTTCTGCATCTTGGCTTTGTAAAACTTTATTATGCTCTATGGGTCATCAGTGCTTTATGCTCTTTAATAGCATATCGAGTTGTCTTATCACCCCTTTCACCCTGACCTGGATTTCCATGAATTTCTCTTTGCATACCCCTATTAAATTTTGATAACGTTGGAACTCTCCATTGGTTCCGGTGAATTCCCCAATTTTTTCGGTGGCTCCGATATTGGTATTGTATATTGATTTTTGAATTCATACTGCTTTCACCTAACCTTAGAAAGCTAAAGTCTCTTGGGATCCAGCTAAATAGTGTTTTTTTTAACCCGGTATAAATCCAAGAAACTCAAAAATTTCTCAAGTTAGGAGCCGGGGAACACCCTACCTATTTACTATGATAAACAAAACATACAGTGAGTAGGAGGACTAGACCAAAGTCTACTTAGTATCAAATACATAAGGATAACTAATAGCGTCAAACTTTAAAACACCAACAAAATGATTAAAGTGGTGATCCATGGTATTTATAGAGATACTCTTTTGAGCTATGTAATTCGCGGCACAGTTGACCCTCGGGTGTATGCAAGTGATCACATAATTATAATGTCTGAGTCTAGGCCAGAGCTTCCAATGTTGAGCATTTATTCCAATGAGGCCCTCATATATGTTCCTATTATCAACTTCAAGAATAAAATTAGTAACATTAGTACTCTTGATGTTAATAATAGTATCAAAATTGCGTCGTAGGATGAAATGTAGATATCCTGGTTTGTAGACATGTGCATCATGTGAGCAACATAATTGCCAAACTCATTACGAATGAGGGCAACACTCCTGGTGAGTTTTGGAGTCAAAATCCTAGTAGCAATGTTGATTTTGTAGTAGTTTGGGGGCGGTTTTGTCCAGGATTTGACGTTGGGGGCTTTTCTAGTTTTTTGGAGAGCATTGGTGCAAATGGTGAAAGAGGTGTTTGGATCAGTAGTGATGAAAGGTTTGGTGTGAGAAATGGTAAAAATATCAGTTTTAATAGTATAAATTGCCTCAGAAAAAAGGACCTATTTATTATCATGAATAATTTTGTTACGAAACTTCCAGAGGTTCCAAACAATTGAAATGTAGATATCCTGGTTTGTAGACATGTGCATCATGTGAGCAACATAATTGCCAAACTCATTACGAATGAGGGCATCACTCCTGGTGAGTTTTGGAGTCAAAATCCTAGTAGCAATGTTGATTTTGTAGTAGTTTGGGGGCGGTTTTGTCCAGGATTTGACGTTGGGGGCTTTTCTAGTTTTTTGGAGAGCATTGATGCAAATGGTGAAAGAGGTGTTTGGATCAGTAGTGATGAAAGGTTTGGTGTGAGAAATGGTAAAAATATCAGTTTTAATAGTATAAATTGCCTCAGAAAAAAGGACCTGTTTATTATCATGAATAATTTTGTTACGAAACTTCCAGAGGTTCCAAACAATTGTATTGGGAAGGACATAGTTAAAATCACTTATATTACCTTTGAAGTTAATGTACCAACCCAAGAGGTAAGCATGTATAGAGTTGGTGGGGCCAGCTTTATAGTTTACCATATTTTCAAAGTGATTCCAGACCGATTTGGCAAGGCGACATGATAGAAAAAAATGGCCAATGGTATCATTATAAGGACAAACAGACACTTGAAAGGACCAACAATACCAATCTCTGTGAGTTGATTTTCAAAAGGCAGCAAGCCATTTACCAATTTCCATAAGAAAAAAGATTTTTTTTTTGGAGTCCTACCATTCCAAATAAATTTAGAAGTATCCATAACACTCATTTTAGGACTTATCTCATCATAGGCACTACAAAAACTAAATTTACCATTTGAAGTGGGTTTCCAAAGGTAGCCGTCATCACAATTTGTGAAATGGATTTTGGTAGCATGGATTTTATCTTTTAGGTATCTAGGAAGGCATTCAGAGAGGGCAGTAATGAGGGTGTTATTGGGGACAGCTTCTTTAATTGTAATATGGCTAAGGCTAAGGGGGATGCCATCAAAATGAAGTTAAAGGGGACCGACCAATGTCACACCAATTGGAGAACCAGAAAGAGCTAGCCCCATTATTCACCTGAACACAAATATTATCCTCAAAAATATCACTCATAGAGTCAAGCGATTTATGCATAATAAACTTGGTATTATCTCTAAGATTATTGTACCAATTAGCCCAAATACCCTTGTTGACCCTAGTTTTCCATAAAAGCTTAAGGAAATAAGTTTTGTGAATGTCAATTAAACCTCGAAATCCTAATCCATTTTCGTTAACCGGGTAGCAACAATTATCCCAACGTCACCAAATGTGGTTATGATGGTCAGTGGCATTATCCCATAAGAAATTCGAGAGTTTCCTCTCAATATTGTGAATAATGTTACGGGGAAGAGGGGAGACAGCCATATGGTACAAAGGGATCGTGCTAAGAACATGATGAATAAGAATAATTCTACCACCAGGGGACAACATTTTGTGCTTCCAACCAGATAGTTTATGATCCAGTTTAGTCAAAATATGCTCAAAGTAAGAATTAAGCGTGCGACCAATATAAATATTAGCACCCAAGTAAAGGGAAAAGAGCCCTTCTTAATCTTGAAAATATTTTCAACATTTATGATAGAGTGATGATGAGCATGCTTTGAAATAAGGTAGAAACTCTTAGTTTTACTTATGAGCTGTCCAGAAAACTGCTCATACTCAGTAATCGTGTTCTTTAATAAATGAAGAGTCTTTTTTTCAGCATTTGTAAAAACAATAAGATCATCAGCAAAGGACAAATGACTTATATGAGGCATACCTTTAAAAGTAGAGTACGGAGTAGCCTTACCTGTTAAAAAGAGTTTATTCAACTGTTTGGATAGAATCTCAGCCACAATAATAAACAGAATAGGGGACATACAGAGTGTAACACTTGAGATTTAATATAAATGGATTAATAGTACTACTCATACCAACAAGATGCATCTTCTTTTAAGGGAGCTCATTAGCCAAGAACTCCAAAGTTAAGCGTGCTTGTACGGGAGTAGTCTTGGGATGGGTGACCCCCTGAGAAGTTTCTCAGGGCGCGCACGAGTGAGGACAAAGTGCGCGTAAAAGGTTAGTGATGGTTTGTGAGGACAGTACTAGAGGTCTGAAGGGTGTATGGAGTAACTACCCCGGGTCCTGCGGGGCCGGGGTGTTACACAGAGGGTCCCCCTGTTTAACACCCCTACTAGGTTTAAAGAACCCTTTCGGGGCCCCATTGATTATGATGGAGAACCAAGTGGCATGGAGATTATTGCAAACCAGAGTAACAAAAAACGGGTGGAAGCCAAACTTCAGCAAAGTATGTTTAATAAAAATGGTATTATGACCTCTAACCTTCTTATTGATGTGATTAACAAGCTCACGAAGGACCAAAATATTATCGGAAATCTCCTTACCCTTCTGGAAGGCAGATTGCTCAATGGAAATGATCTTATAAAGCATAGGCGTAATTCTTATGGTGAGAATCTTAGTAAAAATTTTGTTAATAAAATTACTAAGACTAATAGGCCTATAGTTGGAAAACTGGTAAGCATTGTTACATTTAGGGATAAGAGCAATCAAGGTGTGGGCAATTGCCTTGGGAATAGGAACACCACAAAAAAATCCCTAACGGCATTACAAAGATCATACTCAATAATATCATAAGCACTTTGGAAGAAAAAACCATCATAACCATCATTCCCAGGGGCACTGTTTTTATTTAGGTCAAAGACAGCATGTTTAATTTCATCACAAGTAACGGGACGTAACAGATTGTCATTATCATTAGAATCAATTACCGGATCAATGATGTTCAAATAGTGACTAGGAGGATCAAGGGAGTCAGTATCCTTATCGCCAGTAAGAAGTTCAGTATAGAAGTTTATAGCAGCCTCACAAATATCATCTCCGTTTTCAATCCAAGACCCGTTTTCAAGCTTAATTTTGTGGATATTAAGCTTTTGATGTTTGGTTTTTAAGGAGAGATGGAAAAATTTGATATTTGCATCTCCCTCCTTTAACCATTTAACTTTTGCCTTCTGCCTATAAAATGTATTTATATAAGCAGAAGCCTGAATGTATCTGGATTGAGCATTTTTCAGAAGGAGATGGTCTACCTCAAAGAGGGAATCAGAGGTCTTTTCTTCAAGTAAACTAATGTCATTTTCATCTTCAGATTGTTTATTAAAAATATTTCCGAAAATATCATGGTTCCAGTTTTTTAGAGTATATTTAAGACGTTTGAGCTTGTTAGAGAAAAGCCTCATGCCATAGCCATCACAGGGAGCATCTCAGGACACTGACAGTTTTCAGAAAAGTTGGGTGGCTAGTCCACATATGCTGAAATTTAAAACTTTTGGGGCAAGAATTGGGACCACAATTTTCTTGAAGAAAAAGAGGGTTGTGATCAGAAACACATTTATTCAATTTTTTGAGAGTTAGGTTCCTGTTGAGTTGAAACAACTCATTAGAAGCCATAACTCTATCTAATTTTTTAAAAATCAGACCATTCATCCTATTCCCCATCCAAGTGTAGGGAGAACCTTGAAAGTTTAGCTCAACCAGACTGTTATTAAAAATGAAATCAGTAAATTCATGCATGTCAGTGCTGCAAGGAGTACTATTACCTTTGTATTCATTAGCATTGTTAATAACATTGAAATCACCACCTAGAAGCCATGGTTTTTGGCCAATGGTACTCCTGAAAATGTCAAGATCAGTCCACAGGGTTCTTCTATTAATTCTGTTGTTAGCACCATACACCACAGAGATATAGATAGGCTGGTCAAGATAATTAATAGTAACAGAAAGATTTATGCATTGAGAAAGGTCAGAAATGATGTTGACAGTATAAATAGGGTCCCAAAAGAGACATATTTTATTCCGATTGTGAGCAAAACTTCCGTTAAATTCAAGCTGAGTCATTTTAGATTTCATAACACTATTGTTCACTTTAAGTTCAATAATGCACAGAAAATTAATATGATAAGTATTGCATAAGAATTGTAAACGGTCAGTAGACTGGGAATTACCAATCCCCTGAATATTCCAAAACAGCATACTAATCATAGAAACAAAGGGGGTTGGGCAGATTTCTTGGGTCTGAGCCTGTAAGGCTCCCTGTTGGTTGGAGGCTTGGACGATCCAGATAAATTGTTTTGGGAATGTTTGGATTTTGTGGATGGTTCCCCATCAGAGAGAGTCTCTCTGGGGTCCAATTCTAAATCCATTTCAGTG